TATATATATATATATTTGTGTATATAAGGGTCACGGGTGTCCAATCTGCGTCAAAAGTTAAACTCTAAACTTATCACTTTTTTAAGAATGTCACTTGAGATTTTCTTCCTCTTAAATCTGCAATTGAGGCTATAGTTAGAATGTATTTTCTTATTGATGATGACTTTTTAAAATGTAAACGAAGTAAATATGAAACATGAACATATCAAGTCATTTATTTGGATTTTTTCCTCAATAAAAGAAGCGTCAATGATAAGCCACTTCAACGCATCATTTCATAACTGAATAAAGTTTGTCCATCAAGTGTATGGTAAGGACGTACAACAGACGGTTTTGTTCCCCTTGGCAGTCAACAAAATTTTACATTCCCTTTTGTAAATCGAAATCTCACCTCTCTTTCGATGTATAACCTCTACTAGAAAGAGTTTTAAAGAGCTCACTCTTTTGTTGTTAACTTCCCCTGATACATAATGAAAGGGAGTCGAGTGGTGGGCTTTTGTGTGTTAGTCCTTTTTGAAAGCTTTCATGTTTTTGATAGCTTCAACTAAATTCTCAAGTCATTTATCGCCGTTTGAACACTCAAGCAGGGTTACAATCTGATTTACAATAGAGGATTTGACTTTGCGCCAATTTTACACCCAACTAGTCAAAAAAACTATTTATATTTTCTGGAGACACTTTTCTTCTTCATTTATTTCATTGATGAACCATAAAGCTATAAGCATAAATTTTTGATCATAAGACCAGTTCAAATCATTAATGTTATCATTCTCTAAGGGTTACTAATACAAATTTATAAAAAACATCAAATTTTGTTAAAAGAAGAAGTTTTATCTTGCTATTTGAGGTTTAAAGTGCGCTTGAAATATTGTATTGTAAGATTGTAGGATTAAAATTACAATATTACGTTTTAATACTTATCCAGTGTAAATCAAATTTGAACTTGTGCTAATATTATACCCAACTAATTAAAAACTATGTATATTTCCTGGAGGCAATTACTTTAATAAACCGATGAATCATGGATTTCATGGGTATGAGCATAGGTTTTTGTTATTACATTTTCTGAAAAGAAAAACTTTTGACTCGTTGCTTGAAGTTTCAAACATGGTTTAAATTTTTAACAAGTTCGTTCAGGTTAAAATTAAAAATTGAAATACTAGTATAAAATATTTTTCGTTGTTTTAAGAAACGGTATTAAGATTGATTTAATTTTTAAATTCATATTTAAAAGTAACACAAAATATATATTTTTTTCTTTAGAATTCCTTTTATGTCTTGAAATAAATAGCTCAGGGATTGTAGTCAAAAATGAACTCTGATTTCTAAAGTTGAAAAGAGTGTTTACAAAGTACATTAAAACAATGAATTTTTGTAACTTTTTTTTAGTCTTATAATTTAGTAATTGCCTTTTTAATACAGCTTTAAAAATTTTCGCATTAAATGCTTATAGCTGATTTTTGTGAAAGTCAAGTGATCAATTTAAAAAAACTTATAATTTTAGATATAATATATAAAGAAAAAATATTAAAATAAAATTTATACTCAAGACTAGAGCACTTTTATACATTTATCAATAATTAAAAAAAAAAAATTAGAATACATATTTTTTTTAAAATTTTTAAAAGAGTTTGAGAGAAACTGAAGTGTTAAATTTGAAAATAGAAAGCTACTTACTTATTAAAAAAATAAAATAAGAAAGTTTTAACATTTTATTTTTTAGATTTGTTTCAAATTAAAATTCTACGTTGCACATAAAATATTTTAAAAAGGAAGCTTTTTCGCCAATTCTAGGGCAACCAACACGCGAGTTGTCGTAAAGATGGCTTTAGAAAGGTTGACTATTGTGATATGTGATTTATGCGTTTCAGGGAGTGTTCTTGCTACCTTTCTCTTTGAATCTGAATATTTCTCTTCCCCCCTTTTTTTCCGATTGTCACATTTCCAGCATATTTTCATAGATCAAGTATACCCTCAAAACCAATTTTACGAAAAATAATAAAGGAATAGGGTTTAAAAATTATATGAATTATACTTCTGTTTTTTGAAACGAATGTATACCATAACAATTCGAAACATTTCAAATACTTAGGAAGTGTCAAATATAATAACAAAAATTTCAAACTTCATGTCAACAGAAGAATTTTAAAACTTTAATTCTAACTATTAAAGTTAGGTATGAAAAAAAATTGAGAAATATTTTAAAGGGGAAAATGTTTTATAAACTTATCATACTGTTGTTATAGCTCTGATACTCACAAACAACACATTAAATGTAACCTTTTAAAGAAACGAAAAAACAAGCAAACAGAATGATAACATATAACAGGAACAATATCAATAGAAAAGATTAAGGCCGACGCAATGCTTCCTAATTTTAAAGCATAGGAAAAGTTTGCCTTCATCTATTCTAAAAGAAATATTTCGTTACTAGCTGTGAAATATTTTGGTTTATCTTTATCGATTTCTGTAGTACAACAATAAATAAGTCAAAGGATAAGTGAATCAAATGTAATAAATATAAAGAACACTATATCTTGAACTGAAGACACCATTAATAGTGAGCTGTATTAGTATCGTTTTTTACTTTTCAATTTTAAAAAATATTTCTGAATAAAATAATTAAAAACGGCACTTTTTAGCGCTATGTATTTTTTGGAGTTAATACCAAATAAATTATACCAAATTTGAAGCAAATTTTAATATGTTTCCAAATGAACATTTAAATGCATAACATTTTTTGTTGGATAACAGCTTTAAGCAAAAGAAAAAATCCTATTAATGGGTAAAAATTGCCTTTTTTTAATAATAATGATTATGTAAGTTAACGCTCCTAATGAGTTAGATGATTTATTTTTTTATCTAGAATCGCAATCCATTTTATGAATTTTATCAAACTTCAGGATACGCATAATTAGTTATTGTATTCATACATCTTTTTTTATTTAAATTTGTAAAACTTTTTATATTAATCTTTTGATACTTTTTCCGGCTATAAACAGTAATGGTGCATTGATTTCTTTTTTTTATTTATTTAGAAATAAATATTATTGTTTTTTAAAAAAATTATCCCAAAAGTATATAAATATCATTTTTACACAAAAAATGTATTCTCAACTAAAAAATTGGATACATTTTTATAATGAAAGAGAAAAAGAATAAGTATTTTTCGATTTAAATTTCTGCATAAAAACTCAGGTAAAAATGTGAAAATAATATTAATTTTGTGAATCTTAATTAAAAATAAAGAAAGCAGACAGAAGAGCTTGACCGATATTGCTTTACGATTACAGTGGTTAAAGCTTTTTTTTTTTTTTACCCTGAATTTGTTTTCAGCCAGGTACCTTTATTGGTACTAATCCCCCTCCCCTCGATGTTGGCAAAAGTTAAAAGTTATAATTTCATTCAGAAAACGAATAGGAATGTTTTAATTCAGATTTTGTAGAAAAATTTTGTCCAAAAATTTCAAAAGA